AACTCAAGAGTGAATTACAGGTAGACGATTCATCGAGAAATCCGTTACAATACTATATTTCAACCTACTTCGTGTTAGTAATTTTCAAGGAACGACTGTTACCATGTCGTTTCTATTGTAACAGATTTCTCGATAAATCATCTACCTTGTAACTCACTCTTGAGTTCGATCACTGGATTGTTAAATTAAAGTCCCAATTTAATGCTATACATATATCTTTATTTTGAATTCCAACAACTTAACACTTATTGCTCGTTATTTTAGTTTACAAGTAAATCTTTAACAAAAGTTCGCTACTAGAACATCTGGCAACTACGAATTCACCGTCAGTTGCTTCTGGAAATTTGTCCTTGGTTCGATTTTGTTCTATCATCCGTGTTTGTCACACTATATTCGTTAAGCGGCCTTTACACGGTCGTTTTTGTATTCAAGCATGTGCGGCGTGATGAGAAGAATGAGCGTGTAAACATAATAAATTCGTGTTTGTCATACATGTGCGATGGTTTTTTAAAATTTTTTAAAAACATGATGTTGTTATGAACATGTTTTATGGTGTAAACGCTTGCATCATGCACGCAGTATATTTTTTCAGTCGTAAGCAAACATTGAAGCGTAATGACGTCACGGATAAACGAAGAACTGTGGAAGGACTTCTTTGAAATTTATCTAAGCGTTCTGGATGGCTGGATTATAAATTTTTAAAAAAATCATATAATATAAGAAAAATCATATAAATAAAAAAAAATTATAACAAAGAAACAATACAAGTCATAATAAAATATCATGGTTTTATGATGAACGTTTTAAATTAAATTAGCAAATAAAATTTAGTTGCACTTTGTTCAAAAATATTTGTGTCGTTCCCTGAAATTTCGTTTCGCACTGCTTTTTTTTAGCTATTTTTAGGGGGTTTATTTCTGGCATCCCGCCTTTTTTGACATCAGCTGTTCGAATTTCCCTGATTTTAATAATCAGGGAAAGATAATAACAGAAAAATCAGCGAAAATGAGAGAGTATCGCTTCATGTCATCCTTGTCATTTCATCCTTGATGTTGTTTCGTTCACAAATAACAGAGAAATAAAGTATGATTGCATGTTCCACCGTTTAAACGAAAACCAGTTTTTTTTGCATCATACCATGTTTGCATACAAAAATGACCGTGTAAAGGCCGCTTTAGACAATGGGGAAACGAATTTATTTCCGATAAGTGTCGATAACGCTAACAGGAATGCCACATTGCCATTCTTATTTCGTTTTAAAACGACAACGGAAATAGGGCCAATTATTGCTCATAGACTCACTTAGTATCATTATTACATATTGCTTCTCCATCAGATTTCTATTAAAATCAAGCTAACTAAGTAAAATGGAATACAAGTATGTGATATAAATTCAACCAAAAAGACCAAATTTAATATTTTATGAGGTTTATGTCAAAATCGTCACCAAATCGATTTATATTTGGCGCTAAACCTCATTATTTTGAAGAAAAATTGTCCATTTAATTTCATTAAATTATCACACATAGTAACCGACATAAAAGCTTTAAAGTCAGAAAGAAATTAATTTTTAAAGTATAGTCGAGGAACATGTTTTCACGTAATTTTGTAATAATTATTATTATTATTCCCTTACTGACAGAACATATTGGGCATAAAGTTTACTAGACTAACGAAAATCACTATAAATAGTATATGGGATAATTCGTAATTCATTGATCGATTTCACACATTTTCGGCATTAAATTTTGATAAATTCGGTATACATTTTCACTTAGTTTTATTAAGATACTTTAATAGAATTCTTATATAGGGTGATCCAAGTAGAGGTACTTTTTTAAATAGCCTTGTTTTGACAGATCACGCGTGAGTCGGGTCGTCAACATAATCGGCCTACTGAGCGTACTATTCGCAACACCATCACCCACCTTGAGACCCAGCATTCAAATTTATTGGATAATATGCGACCGAATAGACCACGTCCAGAGCGCAGTGAAGAAAATATAGCGGCCGTAACTGAGAGTGTACACGAAGACTGTGGAGAGTTGATTCGGCGCCGTTCGCAGCAACTTGGACTGACGTATGGAACGACTTGGCGCATTTTCCGTCGAGATATTAACTTGAAAGCGTACAAAATACAGCTTGTGCAAGAACTGAAGCCGCTCGACTTATCCAAGCGACATCGCTTCGCTCTATGGGCTTCGCGGTGAGCAGATAATTTCACGTTTTGGGCAGGTCGATTGGCTACCAAGATCATTTGATATCACACAGTTAGACTTTTTCCTGTGGGGATATGTAAAGTCTAAAGTCTATGCGGACTATATCGCACGCGGAAAATATCACGCGTGTCATTCGCCAGTTACCAGTCGAAATACTCGAACGAGTAATCAAAAATCGGACTCAATGGATAGACCATCTGAGATAATCTTCAAAAAATAAATACCAAAGAATGTTCTTTCAAACGATAGTAAACATTTACCATTAAATTCTGTGTTGTCGAAATGGATTACCCTTTATTAGGTATATGAGGTTAAGGGAGGTTTTGAGCAGATTTTATCAAGATTTAATATTACAACATAGTATTACCAGAAATATATGCTCTCTGAGTTTCAATAAGAAACCTCACAGATTGATCAATATATATAATATAATAAATTCAAGCGGATGATTGAAAATCCTTATATTGGGTATATGAGGGCTAGAGAGAAGTATTGCACCGATTTTATTTATTTTAGGCACAAGGATATATTGTTGTCATAATAAGATTTTCTCTAAAATTTATTAAGATGTCTCTCATATTAAGCGATATATGCGGTATAAAGTCATTCGGAAGTTCAAAAAAATTGATATGGGAAGTACACAAGGGTCTGCTGTTAAAATAATATATTCAATAATATATCCACATTGAGATTTTGACAATAGTCATAAAAAGACTATTCGTGCAAAATTTTACACCGATATATCTATTGCTGCTCGATTTATATATAGGAAAGTGAAAGAGGTAGAAAAAGTAGGCGTGGTGGTTTTTACAATGTTAGTAAAAACTGTCAGAATAGTGTTATGTTGTTAGGGCACATTAGAACGTAGGTCGCGGTGCATATCTCATTTTCTTATCTATCTATGTACTGATTTTGTTTGAAATTGGTCGTGTATTCCTGAGGTATGGAGTTTAACCTAAAAGTGGGTGGTGCCACGCCCATTGTGTATTTTTGATATCGGCTCCTAAAAAAGCCTTTCCGTACCATACACGTAGGTTACCTTTTATTTTTCGGGATTTGGAAACCGTAGTGTTGCAGTCTGGCAACTCACAACTTTATCGTAAAGTTTGGCATTTTTGATGTTAAACATTATCAGAACGTTTTGACATACGAGCGCTATTTGTTGTGTTGTTAAAAGTAACTTAAAATATTCATTTCGGTCAAAAATTGGATTTAATCACGAACATTTTAGCGCGATTATGTTTTGACAATTTCGACGTGGATTAAAATTTTTGGCGATGCAGGTCCATCAAAAACCAGAGTTTATCGATGGAATGGTGAATTCAATCGAGAACGTAAATCACTCCTAGACGAATTTCGTAAAGATCGTCCAAATCATGATCAATAGATGCTGTGTGCAAACTGATATTGCAAGATCGTCACCTATCGTGAGATTGAGACAACAATAGGCATTAGTGCGCTAAGCACATCAATATTGCTCGAGAGAAATTAAAAACAAAATTGATAGCGGTGCTTCGAAATACGTATGTATATGACATCGTAACAAGTGATGAATCGTAAATTTGCGCGTATGAGCCTGAAAGTAAACAGCAGTAGACTGTATGGGTCCTTCCGAACTGTATGGCTGCTGAGCCGAATCCAACAAAAGTTGTTCCCGCACGAAGTACTTCCAAGAAAATGGTTCTGTTTTTTTTGGAAAAACTGGCCATGTTGCAACCATACCACAACAACGCAGAGGAGTAAATTCTGTGGTACACAACCATTTGTTTGCTAGTTGTCTTTCCAGAAATCAGAAAAATCAACCGGTCATCCTCCACCACGCCAATGCGAGTTTTCACATATCGACTGAAACAGCTGCATTTTTGAACACTCTAAATATCGATTTGATCAGGCATCCGCCGTAGTCCTGGCTTGGCACCGAATGACTTTTTTTATTCCCGTACGTAAAAAATAAACTAGGGGTCAACGGTTTTCGACACCTGAAGAGCCGGTTGATACGTTCCCACTTCAATCAGAGCGGCAAAAGTGCTTCGACAATTAATTAAAATGCTTGAAAAAGTGTATAGTTCTTAATGGAATTTTTTTTTTTAAACAATAGGCCGATGTTCGATGAATAACATTTGTTGTTGTTCTTTAATCCCGAAATTTAAAGGCAACCCTCGTAGAAGGTGAAATTTAATTCTAATAATGTTTATATTTGGTGAGTTATCGTACTTTTAGTAGATTTCAACACAACCGTTACATGGGAGAGGGCGGGGTTATTACCTGATTTTAACAAGCTTTAGTGGTTTTTAAGATATTAAACTTAATAGGGGACTGCACTGCACCACATTACAATATTTTATCTTAATTTTCCGTTTAGTTTTGCCACTTTATAAGTTTCCGATTATTGGCGTTTTGTGGGCGTGGCAGTAGTTCGAATAGGCCCACAATACCAACACGTGTGCCAAGTTTCATCAAGATATCTCAATTTTTACTCAAGTTACTTGCACGGACAGATGGACGGACGAACGGACAGGCAGTCACCCGGATTTCAAGTCGTTATTCTGATCATTTATATGTACATATGTATATAACTCTATATCTATCTTGATTAGTTTTAAGTGTACAGGTGTCCATTTGTACATATTGATTTAAAATATTACTTTAAAAATTGAATAATTTAGTTAGAATGTAATCAGTTTTGTATACTATCTTAAAAATTGTCGTTAAATGAATTTCATCAATATACATATGATTGTATAATCGTATAAAAATATAAGACAACAGGCTAAGATTCAACGGTAATATGAATACAAACTTCTGAACATAATTTTTATTCACTTTAATATTTCTCCTTCCGAGCTAGCTGTGGTGAAACACGCTCATGGCATTTTGGTATATTTTGACAATTTACACGCTGGTCCGCAATTGAACCTTCTCTATTACTTATAAGTATATATGCGTTCTCTGCGACGACTACTATATATTAGCCTTCTGCATTAGCGGATTTCATTTTAATAATTGCTCCTATCACCTTGAGTAAATCATTCCCTGATTTTAATTTATAATGGAAATCAATATCCAAAAGCTTGTTTGCAAGGTTTTACAATATAACAGAAGATAACAGAACAATACTTTAGCGGTTAATTTAGTAAAAGATTCAAAATAAAACTAAGCTAATAAAGTTTCTGAAATAATTTGAATTTAGAATATTTGTATTGTCGTACAAATGAATTTTATGTATGTATTTTCTATGCGTGGTTTATATTACAATTTTAAACATATACATATATACATTAATAATATAAATGTTTGCCAATAAAAATTATTTTCAAAGTATAAAACTGGTATTTAGCGGATGAAATCTTTAACACGACTTTTCTAAAACTTTATTCCTGATTCAGATTCTTGATTACATAATTCACTACCAAAGCAAAAATCGAAAAGCTTATTCCAATCACCAAATTTGAATATAGTCCTGGCCAATTTATGATAGATTTCCGTTTGTTATCGCACTCGTCTGATTTTACATGTTGCGCTCCATTAGCACCATTTCCATTATTTATAGCTGGTATTACATTGTTGACTGGTTTTTTATGAAGTTCTCCATTTAAAAGAGCCAGCTTTTGTTTTTCATCTTGTAGTAATTTGTTTATTTCTTCACATACTTCGGGAAACAATTCTCGAAAAATTGGGTCCTTTAAATTGTACTCTAAAGATTTTCTGGCATAGCTCTGTTTCTCATAAGTCGTTGTCTCAATTGAACCTAGAGTAGGTGTTGACTCCAGCTATATAAAAAGAATCGGGGATTTCTGTATACTTTATTTCTGCGTACATTGGGTTATTACCAATAATTATACAAGTATAATATGATAAATTCATTTTTATAACATAACAATATACAGTTGTCCACAACAAAATAGGACCACATGTCCGTTCCCACGACAGTCGGGTCAACGTAACCGGAACGGACCCGGATTTATTCCGGCCAAGGACTGTCAACTCGGCAGAGTTCTGCCGCTATAACAACAACAACAACAACCATATGTATAAAACGAATCATTCAATATTCAATAAGAAAACTATTTTTTGTCTCAAAATTTTTGCACATCGTATTAATATTTCCAGTCCATATAAAGAAACAACAAATTGTACATCACAGTTATGCATGCAAATCAACTGAAAAACTAGTTCCACATGAAAATAGGAGTATTCAATGCCTAATATGAAAAATTCTAAAAATTTTAAATTAAAATGCTTTCAAGCCTTTACAGAATAATAAAATAACTGATATTGAATTGAATAGCTTTGGTTTTTTTAAAAGAGCATCATACTTCCTGAGAAAAAGGGTCTATGAGATTCCGATAAGGTTCAAATGGTAACCACTCCAAACCTCTTTCAATAATTGTCACATATCTCTCGAATTGGTTGGTTGAGTAACACTTTTTTTCGTACCGGTCCTGTAGTGTTTGTCATTATCTTGTTGATATACCCATATATCCAATAGGCATACTGTAACATTACCTTATTGAAAATTTTGACATATGCTACTTGATCCATGACATTTGGCATGAGTTATTTTCTAAGGAAACAATGTAATATCCAAAGAAATTGTTTAGATCGGATCACTACAGCATCTAGCTGCTATATTAATTGAAGTGCTTGCATGGAAAACTTTTTCATTTGACGAGGTATAATACAATCTTTGAGAAGAAATTGTAACGAAATTTGGCATGGATTATTATTAAATTGTTTAGATCAGAGTACTATATAACATAGCTGCCATACAAAATGAACGATCGGAATCAAGTGCTTGCATGGAAAACTCTTTAATTTGACGAGGTAAGAAACATCCAATAATTATATGAACAATAACTAATTCAAATACAATTATGGAACTCTACTAAATTTTCTAATTTGAGAATATTTGTATACTCTCGCAACATGTTGCAACAGAGTACTATAGTTTCGTTCACCTAACGGTTATTTGTATCACCTAAAACTAATCGAGATAGATATACGAATTACATATAATATATATATATTTTCGGGATGACGAGACGAGTCGAATTCCGTTCTCCGTGAAAGCTGTAACTTGAGTTAAAATTGAGATATCTTGATAAAACTTGGTACACATGTTTCTTGGTACTAAAAGTAGTGCGGTGCAGATGGGCGTAATCAGACCACTATCTCACAAACCATTAAAGCTATATTAACCAAATTCGTTCAAAACAAATACTTTTGGCACCTCTCCTACACAGTGAAATACAAAAGGGTTTTATAGAAGCCGGTACCAAAAATTGACAATGGGCGTGGCATCGTTCACTTTTAGGTAAAATTCCATATCTCAGGATCTATATAACCTGTAAGATATAATATTATTGAAATACGGAGATAATCTTTTATCACAACAGATGGCCTTTATGCCTAAAATGGATTAAATCGCGTTAATATTTCCTCCAGCCTCCATATAACTAATGTAAATAATTTCGAACTTCCGGTTGGCTTTATACCGTATATATCGGTCAATAAGTAAGATATCTGAACAAAAATAATGAAGCTATATAAGTTTTGCAACATCTAAAAGTGTTTCCCTATCTTTGATCTTTACCAATTGCGAGAGTATTTGAATTTCCGTTTGCAACCGAACTTAACCCTTCCTTACTTGTTTATGTTATAGATAATTTTAAGATATTTTAATGCAAATATCGCGTTATGTGTAATGCTATTGTACCTTGTCATTTACATGTGATCCAAAAATGTTATGCAGCCAAATACATTTTGCATATTGGCGTTCCTATTATTTTGTGGACAACTGTTTATAGATTCAGCAATAATGTGCAGAGTGTAAATTCACAAACGTTTCTGATATATGTGTATATATTAAAATATATATTGCAAACCTACCATAAAACTGAGCAACCCAGTCAATATAGTGCCGACACACCACGTTGGATTCCATGTATCAGGATGGAAATCTTTTAATTGGTAACAAATAATAAAAAAGTGCATAAATATATATTAAAAGTACGCAATGCAGATCACCTACCTGATATGCTAAGGCAGAGGCGGGTGTTAGTCTTAAATCGTCCGTTCGGTGTCAACATATAAATTGAAGGTGGTTTAAATGGAAATTCTCTTGGAAAAAGTAATGTTCCATGGTAGTATCCACCGTAGTAAGGGGTGTTAGCTGGACCTTTTACAACATAGTGCCATTCTAGGATATTGTTTGGCAGAGGTTCTGCTGTTATATATGGTAAAGGATCGCGTTTTAATCGCATGTAGTCCTGCCTCATCCGTGAAATCGCAGTAGGTTGTTTTCGTGGTTTCGTAGTGGTCATATTAACTTACAGAAACACTTCCCTACAAGACAAAGATTATCTAGAAAAGCTTTCACAAATCATAATTAGGTTAAAATATTTGAAGACACTATTCTGTATAAATTATTAATAAACAAACAACTATATTCTTGTCGACGATAGAAGCCGGACGTTTTCAGCTTTGCATTTTAATATTTTATTAAATTCATATATAAAAAATCCAAGCTTAGCAGCATTTTAACATACACTTTTTTGTATGTTTACTTTTTAGACGTTAGGATAGGCATATGCATACACGGTAAATGCAACGTACCGGGTAAACTTAGATGCATAGTTCCCCACAACGAAATTTAGATTGTATAATTGATATTTATATAAATATGTCACTTAAAATATCTGCATTGCTTTAACTGTTCTTTTAATTGATATTGTTATTGACCTCATACTTTGCGTTTTCAAACTTGACCTTGACTCTGTCTTAATAACGCTCATTCCGCAGAAGGTTACTTTTTAACAGTATTTATTTTTTTTTTTACCTATCAAAATATTTATCAGAAATTATATTCTTCCGTCTCCTCCCTGATCAAAGTTTAATGGTACTCCCTCAAAAGATCGCAAAAACGATGATGTGTCTCTTACAAACGAAACGTGTTGCTGTTGGTGGATATTTAACTATAGTTGGAAACTAATTCAAATTTATTTATTTTGTACAGGAACACAACTTTTACGTCCTTTAAGCTTATTTTTTCCACATTCAAAACCTAACAAATATATCCCGTGTTTTTGTTTCTATCTAGAGGTTACAATAAACAATAATCGATAGCATAGTGTTATGTTATGTCAATATAATAGTATAACTGATATGCTTAATTCCATATTCACACGCGAAATTAAATAAAACTAAACTTAAATGACAGTAATTCGTTTCCACAATTCTAATGACTACAACAACTTATACGGTTAACTGGACCGGTTTGGGAGGTAAGGTACAAGTTGGTTGTTATTGAAGACATCAAACGGGAGGCCGAGGACGCTAACGAGAGTCACCGCGTGCGTTATGTTTTCTCTAATGTTATTTTAAACTAGCAGCCGCGGTGCACTTTTTTTCTTTACATTGTCTAGCCTCAAAAACTAAATTTTTTTTTAAATCGTCTTATTTTTACGCGTAGATTACAAATACGTGAGCGGAAAGTGAATTTTTTCAATAATTTATGTATATTTTTCAAAATTTATTTAACACACTTTGCATATCGCATATTCAAGTCACTTAGTTGTTGTTGCGGAAAAATTCTGTAGAATTCAGATCACTTAGCTGTAATTACCAGTTCAGCGTGTTAAACATTTTCTTATGAAAAAAGTATACTGAAGAAATGTAACAGTCACAATTTCTTTTGCGATGCGATCTGATGGTATGGACGAATATCGGAGATCGTCGAACTCCTATCCGCACAGGCGGCCTTCGGCCGCGCTTCAAAAAATATAGTCGGTCCAAAACCGTGGTGTTCATAATTCAATCGCGTCAAACTCCTTTTCGCTGCTCTCAACCTCAATAATAATTTTCATCACGATGCAGAGTATGTGTAATTATTAATATCACAATAAAAGTGCACTAACATTGATATTTTAATATAAATTTTCAGAAACGTTTATGAAGGAGAGGAGTAGATAGATAGATAGATTAATTTTTGAGGTATGCACCGCGACCTATGGTTTATTGTATCATCTAGGCCCAGCATGTTGATAAATTCCAAAATTCTGCTGGGCGCTAGTGAGGCGATACAATCCCTGTGTGAAAACATGGGTCCCAGGGCCTTGATTCTGCGTCTGCAGACTGCTGTGCAGTTCATCAGCAGATGTTCAGGGGTTTCCGGCTCTATGTCGCAGAACCGGCAGTTTGCAGAAGAGGCTATGCCCATGTTGAAGAGGTGCTTCCTAAGCCTGCAGTGGCCGGTGTAGAACGCGACAAGTAGCCGGAATTTGTTCCTCGGGAGATTAATTATGGTTTTGAACCGTTTGAGGTCGTAACCCCCCATTAGCAGTCTGGCATGGTGCATGCCCTGAAGTTGTTGCCAATGTGTCTCCCTACCTACTCTTTCCTCCCTACGGAGGAGCTCTTTAATTGTATGTGGACCAACCGCTATTAAAGGTTCCGGTCCTATCATTTTTGTAGAGGCCGCAGAGCGGGCCAGCTCGTCAGCCAGTTCGTTCCCGGCTATACCCCTGTGGCCAGGCACCCAAATAAGGTGCACTCGGTTGTGTTCTGATAGGCTGTTCAGCCGTTCTATACACTCCAGCACTAGAAGAGATCTGACCTCATAGGCAGAGATCGCTCTTAGTGCCGTCTGACTATCGCTAAGTATAGCAATACTTTTATTGCGATAGTTGCGTTGGAGGTTTCGCATTGCTCCCGACGCGCAGATGCAGGCAAGTCTTTGCAGCTTCAACAGTTTGAGTCCTAACCACGATACTGCTCCATACGTGATAATCGGTCTCACAATCATATTGTACATCCACCTGATTGTCCTTGGGGAGCACCCCCAGGATTTTCCAGCAAGTCGGTTGCACACCATGATTGCTTTTGAGGCTTTGGTTAGGGTCTGGTCCACGTGCTGCTTCCATCGTAGAGTGGAATCCAGCGTGAGACCCAGATATTTGACCGTGTTGGCGATCTCCACCACTCTGCCGTCAAGGGATATACTTCTGAGGCCTGGCAGTGACCTCCGTCTGGTGAAGGGAATGATTGTAGTTTTGGAGGGGTTGATGTTTAAGCCAACCCCACTACACCATCCCTTTGCCAGTCCCAGTCCCCTTTGTACGACATCGCATAGTGTGTCTTCGAATTTTCCAATGAATAGTCCTTCCTTCCTACTTTGGATATGAAGATCTGGGATATATGCCAGCGCAAGGCTATCCCTCACCAGCCGAACAAGGTGGGGCAGTAGCACCTGCTCCCCCTGTTGCAGAAAAGCTGGAAGGATACCATCCGCACCCGGGGACTTATATATATATATATTTTTTTTTTACACCAAAAACTTGAACAATATGTGATTTTTTCAAAGAAAAAAATAAAACAATTAATTTAAATGTTTCACAATTTTTTATTTTTAATGCATATTTATAAAAAAAACGATTTTTTTTTTGAACAAATTAAAAAAAAAATAGAATTATTAAAAAAATTCACTTTTCGCTCACGGGTTTGTAATCTACGCGTAAAAATAAGACGATTTAAAAAAAAAAAATTTTTGAGGCCTCTTTAGTTGAGGGACCTAAACTATACATTTACCTTATTTTGTTCTATAATCAACGAATTTTTTTGGGAATTTTTTTACACTTTAAGTTACTTTTATGAAAATATAATATAGCCTATAGATAGTTTAACTTCCTAACGATGAAGGAATTTTTTAAGTCCGTCAAGTAGTTTCGGAGTGTATTCAATTCAAATTCAAACAAACAATCAAATCTTTCCTCTTTATAATATTAGTATAGATCACTTTGCCCATAAGATTAGCTATAACACAAATTTAAATTTAATTTTTATAAAAGAAACCGCAATCATGATCATTCGGTTACTAAATTGTAAATGGAACTCACTAATTTTGTCGTGCATTTGAGAATTAAGAGGGTCATCCCATATGACGGCCTGTTGTTTTAGGGGTTTTTTTGGATTTTTATCTACGACCAGTAAATAGATAGAGTAAACGTCAGTTACAGCGTTCTGAACACCCCCGCCTCGAAAAAATGGGCCACACATTCTCCACTATTCGCTTTGCGGATTTTTTATCTGTAAGCCTAGATGCACGGAATGGACTATTATCAAATGAATATACAAAAAATTGTACTTTTAGTAGACATTTGAAAAAAAAAGTTACGAACTTTGCGTTTGAAAAACACAGTTTTGAGAAAACTCGTTTCAAGTCTGCCAACTCAGCGTTCCGAACAGATTCTTATTCTAAATGTATCTGTATCTTTAAAACGACTTCGAATTATTCTAGACATGTTAAGAAAGCAAATTATGAAAAAAATATTGATCCAAGTGGACTTCATCTCGTTTCTAACAGAGCCAAGCACTTCTTTAAGCTCCTTTTTCAATGTGGCACATTCCAAATTTCAAAATATTTGGTACATCTCTTAGGAGCAGTTCAAAAATATTATGTATTGAAACCGAGCGCAGTTGCAGACATGGAAAGATTTTCAAAATGAAAAAGGATGCCGAATAGCGTAGTAGCGAATCGTTACGAAAAAGAACATAAAGCGTATTGCCACGTGAAACGCTAACGCTAATAAATTTTTGTGGTGAAACACGCTCATCATAAATTTTCTATATATTCTATGTTCTGTGCTCATAACAGCACGTCAGAATGATAACGACAAGATTGCGCCATGCAACTTCAGAAACGAGCTAATGTGAAGAGAAAACTTGGAAAAACTGTCAAATTTGTAAGTAAATTGTACACAAAAACGAAAACACTTTTAAACCCGTGGAATAAACTTCCTAATCATAAATTTTGGGAATGATAAAGCGATAATGTGAAATCAAAGTTTTCAGTTATATTTTAATTTTCTGTGAACAAGCGTATAATATATCAGTATGAGTTTTGACATATTTAAGTGAAATGGTGTATTAAATGAGCGTTTATTAGTGAAAATGAAATACTAATTTTAAATGGGAAGGTAAAAAAAAATATTCGAAATATTGACCATGTCTTTCAACACATTTTGACCACTTTTCTGGCAATTTGTGAATACCATGCCAATAGAATGTTCAATGTGTTCCAATCAGAAACCCAATTTTCGACTTCTGCGTAGGAATCTAAGTGCTGCTCTGCCAACGCGTGTCCCATCGATGAAAACAAATGGTAATCGGAAGGTGTCAAGTCTGGTGAATACGGCGAAAGGGATGGCAGCTTCCAGCCAAGTACTTTGATTCTTTCCTGAACCGATTTTGCAGGTGCATAGTAGTGTAACAAAATTACTTTGCCGTGTCTTCTGGTCTATTCTGGTCGCTTTTCGATCAATGTACGGTTGATCATTTGTTGTCTGTAGCGAATAGTATAACCGTTTTACCAGGTTTTAGAAGCTCATAATATACCACCACACTCTTCTGATCCCACCAAACACAAAGCACTGCCTTTTTACCGAATCGATCAGTTTTTACAGTCGATGTTGATGGTTGTCCCGGATTAACCCATGATTTTCCGTTCAGGACTCTTAAAATAAATGCATTTTTCATCGCCAGTGACAATTCGGTGCAAAACTGATTTTCTTTCATGTCTTTGAAGCAAATTTTCACAAGTGCTTTTCGGTTTTCCATTCAATTCAAGTGGCATGTATTATCCACACTTTTGGATCTTTCCCATAGCTTTCAAACGGTCTGAAATTGTTTGCTGTACAACATTTAACATGTCTGCCATTTGCTGTTGACTCAAAGTATCATTTTCATTCTCGGCTCAAACTTTCTTTCGTTCTTCATTTCTCACATCAAAATTATTATCTTTGAACCGTTAAAACCATCTTTTGCATGTTACTTCTGATAGAGCCTCGACAAGTATTCGATGCGACTCTGCAGTACTTTTCTTCAAATGGAAACAAAAAATTAATGCTTTCAGCAAATCATCACTTTCCGGTACAAATTTGACATTTTCAACACAATGAAAAAATGTGATGTTGTTTGATCAATGACTGTAAGGTTATTAAATACAAGTATGATTGACAGATGTCATGCCAACCAAACAAAAAATAAAATTAAGACTTGTTCACAACAAATGTTCCCTACCAACACATTTGTATCTTAACGCTCACTTCATATCGGTATACCTGGTAGTTAAAAAAATGTTTTGCTCAATTCCCGTGAAGCGTGAAGGAACGCAAAAAATGTAATAGAGCAAAGTTGTCATAATCCCAATTTTTATCATTATTGTCGGTTGAATTGGTTGCGCCAGCTAAAACATTATAGTTAGTACAGCATAGTCAATTCGTCTGAGTATTCGGACCTGCGTTCTTAAAATGAGTTTTACTCAATTCATCATTGTTCAAGTGGCGAGAACTTGTATGTATGTATGAATCGAATATTTATGATGTATCGATCGAATGCCATAAATGCTGGCTTTTTAAGGCTGCTTGTTACGTGTTTTATCAATATTTTCATATACAGGATGGCCCACGAAACGTGCTACAAAAGCAAACCGTAAGGAATGTTTTTACAAGTATGTGTGAGTACTCGACATACTTTTTTTTTTATTCAGCAGGTTATTATACATAATTTTTTTAAAAATGAATGCTTGGATTTGATAATGCAGGGGTACCATGCTTCGCAGCCGTCATTTCCGTCCAAAGGGCATTCAGACGGGATTTTGGCAGCATTACCCCGAGTAGATGGACCATTATGAGATTGGTGAACATGTTTGCCGAATCTGGAAGTATCGCAAGAGAACCATACCATTGATATCCGTATGTTCAATTCAGGCAAATCCAAGAGTTTTGACTCGCAACTTATCGGCGCAACTTGGAGTTAGCAGTCGGTCATTACAACGGCTAATTCATGTTGACTTAAACCTGCTTTCGTACAAAGTTCAAATAACAAGCCGGTAAACTCTCTGTAAGTAAATATGGTATATAAGACCAGTAAGTTATAATATTTTCCATTTAGAATAAATAGAATTCGCAATAAAAGAGAACAAGATAAAAGCAGCATTTTGTTCTTTTTTGAGATGAAATGAAATTTAAAAGAAATACTAAAATTGTTGAAAGTCACTGGTATAGCTTTTAATTAGATTAAAAGGCCTTTTACTGGAAAACTGTGAAAACTGAAGAATCTCCACCAATAGTATACACTACATACATACTTATGTACATAGCCCTGCAAGAACAATGACAGTCATCTGGCCGTTAATATGACAGTCGCAGCTGAAAAAATTTTGTCAGCGCGAGTTAATATCGTTTACGCGATATGAGTTATTAAAAATACCTTTGAGCTGCAGTGAAATGTGTACTCTTTATTGATAGTGCATTTCTATTGTTATATGTTGTTTTCATACATTCTGTTCATTCAGAGATAAGGTTGTTTTGATGTTTGTTTGTTTAGAATATTGGTGATATAATGTAATAAGTAATACGTTCCTTAACTCTCCCCGGTGTTCAAAAGTAAATGTCCTCATTTCAAATCTGCTATGGTCGGAGAAACTCGGCTTGAAGTCGGCGTAGTTCAGTTTTGTATGATTCTTCGGAATTTTTACATCGATTGACATTTGATTGTACTTTCTCATATTACTATTATCATTCATTGATTATTTTTATCAATTAATTGTATTATTAACAATTGTACAATATTTTGTTTCATTAAATTTTGATGTTTATAAGTATATTTTTAATTATCGTGCTTTTATTTAATTAATATTTTTTTCGCTGATATTATCATTATTATTAATCTTTTTATATTATATATGTAATTATTATTGTGGGTTTCTTTTGATATGTTTGATTTCATTTTTATTAATGATTTTGTTTTTATAAAAAATGTTTTCAAAATTAATTGTGATATTTTTTTCAAAAGCGATTTCAGAAAAAATCTATGCTTTTCCTAAGTTTTTAATAGTCGTATTGACCTCGGGAATCTCGTAGGATAATCGTATGAGCGTGAATTTTCTTGAAGTCAACAACCATTTTCCTTTTTTGGTTTTCCTTGTTTTCGGTACCTTTTTTTGGAACTATTGGTTCGTGATCAGGCATTAGATGTGGATAATGTGTTGTCCATATCGGATCTTCTTATTTGGTCCTAATTGATGCTTGTATTGTGGTCGTAAACGGTATTAATTCTAGTGTTATAATTTCTTCTCATAAGATCATCGTCTGGAATCATCAACGTCCATTGGGACTGGTGCTGATTGTCGTTGTTTATTGAAGAGGTTACTTTGTTGACATTTATTTCTCTGAATCCTTAAGTTTGGTATGTAGTTATGCTTGTGTCTGTCCTCTCGGTGGGAATATGGCATATTGGTTATGGGTGTCTCCATGTTGATAATGTTTGTGGAAATTTTGCGTTGTTCCACTGAGGATAATCTTTAGGTGAATTCCTCTAGTTGCTTTTTCAATGTTTCCTCAATGCAGCGATTTGTGCATGGAGTTGGACCATTTGGTGTTCCACTTTGATTTGTTAGTACTGGCGAATTAACTGTCCAATGTTTCAGGATCTGTTAATTTTTGCTTCTAGTCGGAATATATTTAATTTATTTGTTGTCGTCAAAGGCTGCTTTCTTGCTGTTTAGTCGAGGTGTAAACATGTAATCTTCTTTCTTAGATTACTGCTGTTTCGTTGTTGTTGGATTCGGCGTAACCACTTTCAGGATCTGCTTTGAATCGCTACTTTTTCAAGCAGTTTGTATTGAAGTCCTACTTCCCGTGGTATTTTAATTTATCCTTCTTTAGAATCACGGAGTTCCTGTCTTTTCAAGGATGTCTCTGGCTTTTTGATAGCAAGTAAAATTTGCCATCCCGGTTGAGCCCCAGTTAATATCGTTTACACGATATGAGTCTTAAGAATATCAATAAAGATACACATTTCGGTGCAGCTCAAAGTATATTTCTTTCGACTCATATCTTGTAAACGATATTAACTCGAGAACAAAGTTTGCATAATTTTCTAAAGAGCCTTGTGCAAATGATGTAAACAAACGTATGTGTGTGAATTTGAATCTCTTTAAACACGTGGTGACTAAATTGATTCTCTATATATCTATACGGCTCACTCTCATCCCCTTTCTAAATTACGAAAAGAATTTTCACTTAATTCCATGTCTCCTCTCCAAAGCTCTGCTGTACGTATTTCTCAGTTCATGAATTTCGAAATTTAAAATGCCTAAATACAAATGAAAATTAACTAAAAATGTAATTTTATTTGACATAATAACTTACATACGATTGGTTTATCTCACGGATTACCAGCTACATACATAGGCATTTCCAACTTCTCAAAACTTATGGAAATGTATGCTCCCTTTCGACGTATACAGAATTTGCTTTGGAAAATCGTAAACATTGACAGTAATTTTACTGATTTTGACTGTCAGTGGTGACATCAAAGAATGCAGATATTTCATTCTTACATATGTAGAGCTATAGAGTAGAGTCTCTTTTAACAATAACAGTGACGGTCAATTGCCGGTAATTTGTCCAGTCATGCTATAATAAATGTGAGTGTTGGTAGACCCATTAAAAGTTTCTTGTAGGGTAGACGCAACTCTTTGAGAATATAATGAATGTAACCGAATATTTGTTTACTTTCTTTCACTGGCTTTATAATTCCACTGCATGAAAATGATTTCGTGCATGGAATGAAGAAACATATATTTTCTTCTACTTGTTATAAACTTATAAATAAAGTCTCTTTAATTATGTACAAAGCTAAAGAAATTATGTTTTGATTAATATTACTGTGAAGTTATATAAGTTTTCTATGCTGCATATTCTCATTATCGTTCATTTCGACCGCTAAAATATCGGTAAATTTTCATTTAAGGGAGTATCGAGTTGTCGGCAATGTTTTAACCCAGTGTAGAATTCCCAAAAAGACTGTGGTGGACATCAATGATTCGTCTATCCACAACATATTCAATCTGTTTTCCTCGTTAAGCTTATCAGATAAAACGTTTGTTCGACTGCAATTTATATTATGTATATAATAGGGTGGAGTAGAAAAACAATTTTGGACAAAAAATTTTTAACATCTAAAGGCGCACTCAGTTTTAAAGTAAATTTGTGAGTCTAGGTGTTAAAAAATTTTTGTAAAATTTCCTTTATAATCTACAGATTTTCCCCAGGCTAAGCAAAAATTTTTCGCTCCACCCTAGTATATAATCATTAAATTTTATATTTCTTTGTTTACAATTGCAATGCTCATTTGAATAGAGGCGGAACTGATGCAATAGCTATTTTGTTTATGACTGGAATACTAGACTTATCATAGCATTCTATCAGGTTTGTTTTATTAAGTATTCGAAACCTTGTGCTGATAAGGGCTTAATGACTGTCTATATTGAGTAGTGAAGATCTAAAATTCAATATTAAAATAAATTGGTTTTAAATTTTATTTTTAAAAACAAACATGAATAAGTTGCAAAATCGGCGTTTGGGGGTGGTAAAATGGCTCTTGCAATGGTGAAAGGTTTTCTCTCAGCTGAAACATTTAAAGAAATGCTTCAAGATAATATGATTTCATTTAATATTTATTCCGTCGAGGTCTTACAAAGCCTGAGAAATAATTGCCAGCGTACATCCAGATGATAAACAAAGTTATACGCTATTGGGTAGTAATGCTTATGTATTAAACTGTTTGGTTATAATATCACGTGTAATATAAATATGAATAATTAATCGTTAATTTGGTATTATAAACATTTATATTATACTAGAAATGAGTTTAGACGGTGGTAAAAATGAACCGGTTGTAGAGAAATCGGATATAGTATTTATATCAGTTAAACCACATGGTGCCTGTTATATTACCTGAAATCAGACCATTGAGCAACAACAAGTTGTTTATTTCAATAGCCATGGGCATCACTTTAAAGATGTTAGAACGTGAGTTGCTGAGGACTGGGTGTTATTTATTTCACAAATTCACTTCAATTTCAGCAATTATCCTCAGTGCTGATCCATTAATGCCTAATACTCCGGCACTGGTGAAAGCGGGATGTTCGGTATATGCACGCGGTAAAGGCAAGAAAACGATGCGAGTTAACAAGTTACTTTTGAGCGCAGTTGGCACATGTGAAGAAGTTCCGGAAATTTGGTTTGATCCCATTACAGCTCTGAGGCGGAAGTGGACCAGCTTATGTATTTGTCATGATTGAGGCAGCGGATGGCGGGGTTCGAATGGGTTTGCCGCGTGATTTGGCATATCGCTTGCCGCACAAACTGTTTTGGGCTCAGGAAAATTGGTACGCGATACAAGAGAACATCGGTGTCTTGAAGGACAATGTAACTAGCCCAGCGGTTCAACTGCGGCGGCGCTTAAAGTTTTAGAAACGGAAGGTTTAAACTTATTTTAATTTATCGTTAAACTAACTCGTCTTTCGGCGACTTTCAAAATAGGTTTTCGTGGAACAATTGCCAATGCAGTAGAAGCTGCAACCTTAAGATGTCGCAAATATCAGGCAATTAATTTTAGTAAGAGTTTAATTGTTTATAATTAAGTAATGTATTAAATTTTGTATTTCAAATAAAACTGCTAACAATATAATATAATGACTCCAATACCGATGAAATTAATTTTAAAACTCTCGAACATGTTGGTACAGAGTTTAATATAACTTATCAGACAAATGGCGTTAAAACCTGTTGACTGTCTGCCCGTTCGTCCGTAACTTAAAATATTTTGATGAAAATTGTACAGAACCACAGATCAATTTTCAAAATTTTAAAAAGTTAATAACTTTAATGTACCCTACAAAAGCTGAATTAACAGATCTGGACTCAGGATAAATCTTTTCGGCACCATCTCCGAAATAGTGCTCTGGTATGTAATCTTTAGTCTAAAATTAGTTGAAATGAGATGACAATTTTAAAGCGAATACTGTAAATAGGAACCTCAGTCCACATAGCTGACTTTTCAGAGCATCTATTTCTGGAGATGTTATGCTGTAATACTAAAACTGGATAAATTTGGTTCAATATATATCTTAGTCTCCATGTACCTTATTTAAGAATTTGAAACTCCGGTTGGCTTTATACCTATATTTCGTGAAAGTAAGGAAGGGCTAAGTTCGGATGTAACAATATTTTATACTCTCGCATAGTAAAATGGCATACTCGTTCGAGATTTCTTTATATATTTAATAATTAGCAGCAGGAATATACTGGGGCTACAAGTTATTTACATTCACAGTGAAATTAATTAGAACAATTTGTAAATCGTTCTTGTGTTTGTTCTATACACTTATAATTTATTTTATATGAATGAATTACAACTGTATTGAAAGTATGAACAGAAATCGTTTTGGACAATGAAATTTTATTATTTTATCGATATTATTATTGTTTAGCTTAAAAATAATAAATATATCAACTTTAAAATTAATTATGTTATTATATTAATTTGTATATAATATTAAAATATTAATCATAATTCTTATAGAGATTCTTATACATATATCCAAATTATATTTCTTTTCTCCTTATACTTTAATATCTATCATATATTTATACAATAATGTCTTATATAATAAATATACATATAATTTAAGTTTTCTAAATTAGATTATTTACATATTTTTCTTAAATTGTCTAAAAACTACTGTCAAAATTGCTATACCATTCTAATTCGATTGTATTTGAAAAATAAAAAGAACTATACAATAAGTCTGAAAACTTTAGTTCAAAATAGAGAACAAATACTGTCATGATAGCTGTGTACTGTCTCAAAAATGCATTAGCATGGAAGGATCCATGTTTCAAAATGCCAATCAATTTGTGTACCGCATAGTTGAATATTCTACACCAAGCAGGAACCAAAGTTTTTCTTGGAGCAGATTTCCTATCGTAGTACATGTAGACATTAAACAAATGTTAAAATCTCAACAATTAGCACATTTGATTGCATAACTCAGAGTAAGGACTTCCTGAAGTTCTACAAATTAAATTTCTGACAGAAAGCTGAATTCTGTATAGAACCAGAATATAATATTAAACATTTAAAAATCGCTTCTAAAACTTTGCGGCTTAAATAAATTTTCTTTACTTCGTTCTATAGAGCTAGAATCTATGCTTTGCATAGTACATATACCTATATCTATACTAATATTAAAGCTTATTTATATTTTGGAAATAAATGTTTTCGAAGTCTATTAATGCCACTGTTATCAGTTTCTATTACATGATTTTTCTCACTTCGGATTCGTTGGGATTGCCTTTGGTTTCAATTTGTCTATAGACCGGTTATCTCTACGAAGCGAACTTGACTTTGTCTAAGCGTCTCTGATTCAAATTTTCTTCCCTCAACTCCTCCTTCTAAGCTGTCGACGTTGTGTTTCTTTATCACGTCCTCTCCTTATTTCAGGATTTCTTCTTGCATGTTCTCTTTGCATTTGATCACGAATGCGCTCTAAATTCCCCACAAGTTTCTTCTACGAAGTTCTCTATGATCCTAGTGTTCCAACTGTTTCATCATAACGTCCGGGATTTTCTCGACGAGATCTATGACATCGAGTATCTCTTATTTGTTCTACAGAGCGAATTTGTGGATCTTGCCGCCTTGTGCCATGTTGAACAGTATTTACAACTTGCTCAACGTATCGAACGTCATTATTCTCGCTCGAAATCTATGCCGCCGAGTATTTCTGCTTTGCTCTTTAGAGGTTTGGGGATTTAGACGTCTTGCCCTATGTTCAACAGTATTTAAATAGTTTTCAAAGACCGTATTTCGAGATTTCCCGCCTGGTTCTATGTTAATTTGTGATAATTTGTTCGGACAGACGCACATGAGATCTATTCGACGATTAGCGTGACTTACAGTATCTTCTTACTCTCACTATCTCTATATAAGGAGTTTGCTCGAAGAACTCTCATCGTTTTCTATTCTGAAGAGACTTAGTAATACAGATTTACTACTTCATCTATGCCAATTAATAAATGTATATTAATATAAATAATTATATAATTCAGTGGTCCGGGTGTTAAAGTTGGATCCTAGGGCTGCTCTCTTTCACTGTAATTGACTCCTTCTGACTACTTTTCCTGTTCGTTATAGGTACTATGGTGTATATAGGTACATATTGCTACAGAGTAGGTGAGCTGGAAATTCGTGGAAGAACTCACACATTTTCGACATTAAATTATCGATATATCTAATATTTTACGTTTATATAAAACCAAACGGAAGTTTTAATTTTGTACATAAAATATGTTGGACTAGGTCAATATATCCGATAATGGGTACTAGGTGGAACAATTTTATACTTCTTGACTTATATAAAGGTCATAAACTTAGTCTCAGTTTTATTGCTTGAAGAGATATACATAAGTATGAATGTGATATAACTCTACCAAAGTGGCTAAATTTTATTTATAAGCTTATGTGGCAAACTGAACCAGAGAATCGATTCATTATATAGAAGGTGAGGTTTAGACCAAGGTATGTACTAATTTCATTCTAATTCAGCGTCAAACCACATAATTTTTAAGAAATCTTATCCATTTAATTTCTTAAAATATCAATATCAGTCAGGTGGAAGACGGAAATCATATATAATATATATTGGGATAGAAAGATAATATTATTTGACATTGCTCAGCAATACTCGAGCAAACAGTTTCTTTAAAAGTATTTTGAAGCAATTTTATATAAACAAGTAAGGAAGGGCTAAGTTCGGATGTAACCGAACATTTATACTATCAAAGTCAAATGGTCTCGTTTGAGATTTCTTTGTGGATGGTTGATATTTTCGGTAGAAGGTCACTATAAGCACTGGTTTCCACATATTTAGTACTTAGGGGCTTGAACAGTTTTGGTTCGATTTAGACAATTTTGGTCACAAGGTGGAATACTTAAACATTATTTACACAAGTTTGCCCAATATAATCATTGTTGCTTGATATGCATAGTGGAAAGTGAAAGATCAGATGGAATTTAAAATGGTGTTATATGGGAAGTAGGCGTGTTGTTGGTCCGATTTCGCCCATTTCATAATATAACATAGAAATATGAAAAACTTAGCACGAATTTGGTTGAAATCGGTTAACAGATCTCAAGATATGGGTTTCACCTAAAGTGGATGTGCCACGCCCACTGTCTAATTTAACGCGGTTCCTATAAAGTCATCTCATCCATTCCAGAGATAAAATTTTATGTCTTTGTGTTTAGTGCTTGATTTATCGCGCTTTTGTAGTTTTAACATACCGTTATATGGGAGTGGGCGGGTTGCCACCCGACTTTTTCACACTGTAGGTAGAGGTTCTAAAACTTTTGCTTCAGTGAATTTTGTTATTATAGCATAGCAGTTTAGGAATATCACTAAACCTATTAGAGGCGGGACCATTTAAAAATTTTAACTGCAGATGCCCTCCTAATGTGATCCTGTGTACCAAATACAGTCTGTATCTTGCGGGCTTAGTTGTAGCAATTTTGTTTTGATTAATGGCGTTTTGTGGGCGTGGCGGTGGTCCGATTACGCCATCTGCAATACCAACCTCTCACGGTACCAGAAACATGTCTACCAAGTTTCATAAAGATATCTCAATTTTACTCAAGTTCAGCTTGCACGGACGGACGGACAGTCGCGGATTCAACTCGTCTCTTCATCCTGATCATTTATATATACATAACCTATATCTAACTCAGTTAGTTTTAGTTGATACAAACAACCGTTAGGTGAACAAAACTATTATCTCTGTAGCAACAGGTTGCGAGTATAAAATATTAACTCTCACTGAGACATATTCGTATACGTTAGAATAACGAAATTATTAATAAGTAGGAATGAGTAGAGGTAGTATTAACGTTAGTCACTTTTGGAAATACTACTAACACTGCACACTAATAAAATCTCCTACTGTTTCATGGTACCTCACTATAATCCAATCAAATGGAGTAAAGTCAGACAGATGTTCGAAAATCCTGATATTTGTTACATGGTGGCTAGGTAAAACTTTCACCCGATTTCATCTACCTTTCATTTTCTGGAGATAACTCACATATTGGCGATATATGCGGTATAAAGTTACGTGGGCTCAAAATCTTTATATTAGGTATATTAGGAGAACAATGGAAGTATTGATCCGATTCACCCATTTTGTGTCACAACATTACTATTGAGAGTTTCTTTATTTATTTTATTATATCTTACACATTAACGATTTTTATTTGTTTTAACAGTACGATTATGGGGTGGGCGGGATTGTCGATTTCAACAATTTAACACTGTAGATAGAGGTGCTAAAAATTTGCATCAGTCATGTAATTTTATTATATAGCTATAGCGGTTTGGGAGAT